GATTTACTTTCTTCTGCAGTCATCCTATCCTGATTATGAATATATATAAATTTGATAGGATGTTGTGGTAGTCAGCAGATTCAACTTTTACTTTTTCTTCCTGCTACATTTTATGGAATTAAGTGTAAAATATTTAAAAATACAAGTTTGGGGGAAAAGAAATTTTTTTTTTTAAAAAGAAGTAAACTAAATTTTATTTATCCTCAATTAACTATATTTTTAAAATTAATTTAAATGACTATATTTATGTTTGTAAATATTATGGTAAATTTAGGTAAAAGTTTTTAATAATGAAGATTAATTCTAAAGTTAAAGATATTTGATATGAAGAGATAAGATTATGTTTTTCTATTTAAAAGTAAAGGAAATTATTTTTTTGAAGTATTAAGAATTTTGGAGTTTCATGTGAAAAGAAAAGAATAAAACTTTATGAAAAATCATAAACTAATATGAATTTATAAAGTGAAGAAAGGTAAGGAGTTTTGAGCTTAAGAAGCTTAATTGAGCTTAAGAAGAGGATAGTGAAGTTCAAAATTATTAAAGACTATCCAGATATAGTAATCCTCGCTTAAAAATAAATAAATAAAAAGAAAAAAAAAGAGAAAAAGAAAAGAAAAATGAGTTAGGAGAAGCTTGAGAAGTTGCTTAACCAAAAATTGGCTTCACTTGAATCAACTTAAAGAAAAGACTTTATTATATTTTCTAAACTTGTATTAAAGCATTAGTAACATTACTAGCAAAGTTTTTATGAAGTTCTTTTTCATATGAATGTTCTAAGTATCATTGATATGACAAATTGCAATTCTTCTTCAATTCATTGATATGACAAATTGCAATTCTTCTTGAAATGAATAGAGATTCAGAAATCTTAAATTTTATTGCTAAGTACTCTTAGAGTTAAAGTTTGAATTTCAGTTATTAAAGGTTTTTCTTAAACTTTAGTACGTTATTTATTAAACTAAAGTATATAAGTTTATAAATTAATCTCTATCCTAAGTCATATTTTTATGTAGTAAAAGGGTTACTTAAGGACAAGTAACAGTTAAGTTTGGGGGATTTTTATACGCTTAAAAAATGTTCAATTTTTCATATGTTTTTAATACCTATATTTGGTGATTTTCAATGATATTGCAATTTAAAGGAAGGTATTTTGTATATTTTTGGTTTCAAGTACAGAAAATGGAGTTTTGGAGAAAAAAAGCAAAAGCGATGCAATTTGGAGCAAAAACAAGCAAGAAAGAAAATTTTGTCCTGACACGTTTCGATATGTCTTTCTATGCTTAATCTCATTTAAAATTCTCACACATTTTTGAAAGAAATTACACAATAAAAAAAGGTTATTTTTATGCTTATTTTGTAGGTCTATCTGTTAGGAACGTAACACAACTGAAACGGGGTAAAATAGAGCTAAAACAGAGCTAAACAAAACAGAACGATGGAGCTACGTAGCGTGGGCGCCGACAACGCCACACCGCTAGAGAGCAGAAAATGACACTGAAACGGTGCCGATAGCGCACAAAATGGCGCCGACAACTCCCAAAACGGTGCCGACAACGCCCGGGACGGTTTGGAGGTGCTGTTGGGCGAATTTCTAGAAGATTCAATGTATTTAGACGCTTTTTGGAGGGTTGCTTGAGGAATCTCTTGGGAAATCCGTCCCTACACTATAATAGAGTGATTTTATGTCAAAAAAAGGTGTGTGTGTGGTGTGTGTGAGTGAGAAAATGTGAATAATATTTAGAGATCTTAGAATAGGAGTATAAATGTAGAGTTCTACCTTTTTGGAGAGATTGGTGAGAGGATTTTGAGAGAATATGTAAAGGATTGTTCTAGCATTGCATGGATCAGCGAGAGACTTTATGGGAGAGATTTTCATATTTTTTTCAAGAGAAAAAAAACTAAGTAATGTGTTCTTCATTATCTTATGATTTTATAAACACTTATTAAGTGAATTTGCTTTGATTTAATGAAGTTTTTCGTTGTGTTGTCTTCATGCTTTATGATGTGTTTCTCTTACTCTTTCTTCTTTTTTTGGACATAGTGGCATGAGAAAATTATGCCATTATTTTCCTTTTACTTATCTTTAGCAACGAGTAGGATTCATGTTTAGGATATTCGGATGCATGCTAGAAGAAGTTTTAATTATAAATTGTGATGATTTTTCAACTCCACTTTTAATTTAATTTTCAATCTGACAAATTGAATTGTTAAAATATGTTGTGAAACATATGATCCGGGAAATTGAGTATGAATTATACAACAGAGTGAGAATCACATTTAAGTTCATGAAGGAGTATTTCGTTCATGAGATTAAGTGCAAATAAATAGGAAAATATACTTTGTTGGGTGTAAAATTAGAGATTTCTAGGGTGACAGACTAAAAATCCCTAATTCAATCTTAGTGTTTAAAAACTAAAGCAAGAGTTAGCCTACAGGGGAAGAGAAGTGGGAGCTCTGGAGTGAGAGCCAGTATCCTCCTAGCATAGCCACGGATTTAGGGACTAAACATAAGATTAACCAATGATTTTCTATAACACTGAATCAAGGTAGATAATTAAAATTGCTCATATTTAGCACATACAATATTTAATGTATCTCATTCCTTTACATTATCAAATTTACTAATTAAGAATAATAGTTTTTAACATCTTAAAGTTCTCCAAACATACTCATTCAAAAAGGGTTATCTTTAGAATTAATATTTACATTTAGGAATAGTTACTATTATTGCATTTAACATTCGCATTTAGAAGTAGTTGCTAGATCATTCGCATTTAGAAGTAGTTGCTAGATAAAATACGATTTTAATCGATATTCCAAACTAAGGACTAATAGTTGTTGACTAAAATTTGGCTAAGGACATCTTTCCTCGCTTCCTTGTGGGATCGATATTCGGGGCTTAATCAGAAAGTCCTATATTACTTGAGCTATACGTATATACGTATACTATCAGAAAGTCCTATATTACTTGAGCTATACGTATACTTGCGTCTATATCATTGTGACTATATAAAATATATAAAATTAAGCATATAAAAAAGTCACATCACAAATCCACATCAGATAGAGCGAAGAACGACTGCACAAACAACCGAATGAAAGAGGATGACTCAGGGATGAAGAAAATCCGCATATGGTTTTAGTTAAGTGGTCTCTATGTCCTCCTCCTGTAGTTCGTCCTTCCATCACCAAACGAACAAACATGAACAAAGGATCTCGAGTCATCATGACCGACCAATAAACACATTCTAAATATATATATATATATATATATTATTTTTGATCATTATCATTTGTATATTGTATGAAATGAAGTTATTACACCTAAAGTTCTTTGTATATAAAGGGGACATATGTATGTCTCTTATACATATAAATAAGGGAACATTTAATGAGAGAAAGGTTAGATGCTCCTCTTCGGCTTCCATCTTGTCTCAATCTCCCACTCTATTCCTTGGGTCTGATTCCGCCGTGACTTTTGGGTTCAATAGAATTGACTGGTATTTATGTATGTGAAGTTTACGTGTTGCATACGCAAAAACGTCGGAATTGGGTTCTACAGTGTTGCTTCTAAAGTTTAGGTGTTGCATATGTAAATGCATAGGAATTAGGTGCTACAGTGTTGCTTCTAATTAAAGTTTAGACGCTACATACGTAAATGCAAAAGAATTATTTTGTATTACAACCGCTTATAATTAAAGTTTAGGTGCTACCTATGTACATGCACATGAATTATGTGCTACATTGTTGCTTCTAATTAAAGTTTAGGTGCTGCATATGTAAATGCAGAGAAATTATTTGTATTACAGTAGCTTCTAATTCTAGTTCAGGTGCTGCCCATGTAAATGCGCAGGAATTATGTGCTACAGTGTTGCCTCTAATTAAAATTTAGGTGCTGCATATGTAAATGCAGAGGAATTATTTGTATTATAGTTGCTTCTAATTAAATTTCGAGTTCTGTCCATGTAAATACACAAGAATTATGTGCTACAGTGTTGCTTCTAATTAAAGTTCAGGTGCTGCACATGTAAGCAGTTGCTTCTAATTAAAGTTCAGGTGCTGCCTATGTAAAGGCACATGAATTATGTGTTACAGTTTTGCTTCTAGTTAAAGTTTAGGTGATGCATAGGCAAATGCATAGGAGTTATGTGTTAAATGCAGGCTTCGGGTAGGACCGGACGGGAGTTGAACGAAACAGAGGGAGAGAAAGACGGAGTTTCGATGGTCGCAACACGTTCTTTCTCTTTAGTTGTGTTTGACCCAACATATCTTTAATGGATTGTGCTTAACCACACCGAGTCATATAATAGGAATTATGTGCTTAGCTAAAAGTGAGGCTAGAAAGTTGAATAGGTTTGGGTAGATTAAAAGTGAGGCCAACACGAAATACCAAGCTATACTTTACTATGAGAAGTCACTCAAAACCAACAACGAAATAGAGAAATAACAGTTTAGAGAAGTATTTACGAAGCATGTCACGAATAATCTCAATACATGACCCAAAATTTATACCATATACTAATTTAAATATATAAATATTTTAATGCATTAATTTTTGGTGCACCAACACTCTATTATAACTTGTCATGCATTGTCTTACATGCCTTGAAAACAGACATGTACAAGACATATATTCGACCCATGTGGAATAATTTTTCATGTGTTCACCTAAAAAATAAAACAAAAAAAATAATATTAAAGTGGACACACATTGTTAAAAATAAATTTAAATTTAATAATTATTATAAAAAAATATATAATAAATATGAGATTTTGATAACTTATAATTCATTAAATAACGTGCATTTTTTTAAAGAATTTATTGATAATTTTATATATTAAATTTTAATTATATTTTATTTTTTATTGTACTTATCTAATAAGTATTTGTGTTTTATATTTTAAAAAAAATAGACGAATTAGCACACCTCCACGTGTGTGTGTCCCATCTCTCCTTATTCTGAATTCCTCCCACGTAATAATTATAGCGTTAAAAACGATAAATTCTATTTGGGCAATCGGGGTTTGATTTCGCAAGAAATAGCTGCAATGGGTTCTCCTCGATCCCAATCCGATCTCCACAAATCCTAGGACTCGTCGTTCTATCTCATGCCAACAACTCCGATTCCGCCATTCCTCAATCCATCTCCGGCACTTTTCCTGAATCCCGGAGCGTAAGTATTCCGCGCTTGATTGAGCGGGATGGATTCGGAGGAGGAAATCCCTACATCCAAATCTGCGGATGGAAAGAAAGGATGGGAGAGTGCTAATGTGGTACTACCTTTGGATGAAATTAGGGCGGATTCCTATGACGAGGTCGCTCCTGAAGAGCTGCACAGGCGTGTTGGTACCTCTGAAAGTTGCTTTACTGATCCAGCACTTTCCGTTTTTGAATCTTCAGTTGAGGCGGTAGGGTCTCCTCCGGCGAGGCCTGTCGTAGATGAATCTATTTTGGATGAACCGAAAGAGTTCAATTGCTACTCGAGTCAATCTTCTCCAAGTGATACAGCAGTAGTGGAATCGAAATCGGTGGTTACAAAGGGGAGTGGGCTGAGGAAATGGAGGAGGATAAAGAGGGATTTGAAAAAAGATGGAAGTAGCAGTGCTGATTCTGCTCAGATTCTGAAGCGCAGGCTGACAAATACCGAGCCTTCCAAGAGTGACGAGGAGAATAAGCTGAAGAGTAAGGCTGAGGAAGAGGGTGAAGATTCGGCACCATCATTGGAGTCACGGAATGCCTACATCAATTCTCCTCCAGTTGGTACTGGATCCCTGGACCTGGAACTCGAGCGATTGGCAAGTGGCGGATTTTCCATTGGAGTGGATTCCGATAACAGTGAGGATCACAGTAGCAAATCATCTACAGCTACCAGTGCTCCGCGGCTGAGGCATGAAATGCTTGCATCAGGCAAGGAGAGAGGGAGGCAGAAAAATTTTGGTGGGAGAGGATCATCCCGTCTTGGCTTTCAGAAAGTTCAACAGAGCAGAGATGGGACAGTTGATGTTAGCAAAAACACTAAGGGAGATTTGGCTAGATATGAGAAGGAGAATTCTATTTCTAGCGTGGAGTCTGATTTGAGAAGCGCTGTTGTTGGAGTTGCGCAGAGGGACAGTGTTGGCGACAGTAAAGGAAAGCATAATGGAAGGTCCTTGAATTTTGGTGAACATGGCGATGAGGCTCACAAAGGAGAAGAGGTTCGCTCAGGTTACTATAAAGAGAATGGGATGGCGGAAAACCTATCTAGAGATGATTTGGAGGCTGAGCTGTTGGCGGAGAAAAAGAGGAGTGAGAATTTCCAATCAAGTTCTGATGTCGATCCTTTTTTTAAATCAATGATTTTCCTCCAAGAGGCTCAAGAAGCACTAGAAAAAGGTCTGTACTAATCCTCAATTGATAGCTTTGTTACTCTTGATGTTTTGTTCACCATCATTTTTATGCTCGCATCTATATTTTCTCCTAGAATAGGCTTTTATCTTGAAATTTTTTGAAACACCACGATGGTACTTTTGGACATTTTTCTAGCTATTATTTTTTTTAAAATTAATCTGTGGATTGTCGGGTCCCAAGTCCCGGATGTCCGTATGAATAAATTGATCTAATAAAACACAAATTGATTATTTTCTTATGAGCAGAAGAGATCGTCGAGAATGTAAAGTTTGTAAGATCATTCCAAGTGAGGATTTAAGTACTCAATATTGATTATTAGTTCTAGATTTTAGGATAAAGAGTTATAAAATAAATAATATTATAATTCATTGTCGTAGAATTAGATGGAGACATCTAAAAGATTACTAAAATTCTTTTTATGAGTAAATTTCAAGATTTCAAGATTTGGATGTTCATACAGAAGTAAAAATCTATGTGGGATAAAGTAACGAACACTATTAAATAAGTGAAAAAAGATGTAATTGGAGAATAAAAAAAAATTCTATAAATAAAAATAGTTAGTGATGGAGTAATAATGTACACGAAAAGATAAAAAATAAGAAGTTATGTTATAAAATTGTTTTAAATGTAAAGACTTAGAGAACCGAGAAAATATAAAATGACCCATAGGGTGTCTAAGAGAACAAAATGTCACGCTAAAAATTCTGCTTTTAGTGATCATTATAATAAATTAGATACTAACGATGGTGAAAAATGTATGCATAAACTAGCCAAACAAAGAGAAAATAAAAATAAAGCTTTCACTCATGTAAAGTGTATTAAAGATGAAAAATCAAAAAGTGCTTTTTTTAGAAAAAGATATTCAAAATAAGTGGGTGAGTTATTTTGATAAACCTTTTAATTAAGTTTCTGAAAATACGATCGACTTTAGTGATCTTAATATCATTAATAATAATAATAAAATATTTCATTTTTACTGTTGCATTAGTAAAAAAAGAAGTTGAGGAGGCTTTAAAGAAAACTAAGGGTGGAAAGTCTCTAGGACCTGATGACATCCCAATTGAAGGGTGGAATATATAGGAGATTTAGGAGTTTTTTGGCTTAATAAACTCTTTAGTATTATTTTAAAAACTAAAATGATGCCTGAGGAGTGACGGAAGATATTTGGCCTCATTTTTTGAGAAGGGGATGCATAAGAATGTGCAAATTATAGAGGAACTAATTTGATGTGTCATACATTAAAATTATGGGAGAGGGTACTTAAACATAGGTTATGACATATTACAAAGATTTCTCATAATTTATTTGGATTTATGTCGGGCAGGTCTACTATGAAAGCTATACATTTATTGAAAAGTTTGATTGAGACTTCAGAGAGAATGAAGAGAATTTACATATGATTTTTATTTATTTAAAAAAAGCTTACGATAAGGTTCCAAGAGATATACTTTGAAGATTTATTGAGTAGAAATGCGTTGATATGACTTATATTCAAGTCATTAAAGATATGTGTACTTTTAGTTGTTACTTGTGTTTGAACAGTAGGAGTGACCAAATATTTTTCTATTTCTGTTGGATTACTCAGGGGTCGGCTTTAAGCGTATCTCTTTTTGCTTTAGTTATGGATGCTCTTACTAGACATTTACAGGAGGATATACTGTGGTGTATGCTTATTACTCTCGTGGATAAGATTAGAGAGAAAACTCAGAAAAAAACTTGAATTATGGAGGTCTACATTGGAGTCTAAAGGCATCCGTTTGAGTAGAACTAAAACTGAATACATGGAAAGTAATTTTAGTAGTAGTAACTCTAGTAACAGAGTTGTATCTATAGGTGATCAAATTATTAAAAGATGTGAATGCTTCAGATATATTAGGTCTATTGTTTAAAGTGATAGTGATATAGATGGGGATGTTATTAGTAGAATTCAAGTTGGTTGGTTGAAGTGGAGGAATGCTTCGGGCCTATTGTGCGATAGAAAAATACCGCCTTAGATTGAAAGGTAAATTTTATAAGATGGTGGTGAGACCTGCAATGATCTATTATGGCGTAGAATGTTGGCCTTTAAATGAGAAACCTAAAATTAAGTTGTGTTGCCGAGATGGAATGATTAGGTGGATGAGTGGCTTTACGCTTAGAGACAAAATGCGAAATGATGATATATGTGATAGGGTGGGTGCAGCTCCAATGGCGAACAAAACTAGAGAAAGTTGTCTTAGTTAGTTTGGTCACATTAAATGTCGACCATCTGATGATCTGATTAGGAGAGTGGATGTTTTAGATTTGACTTATGTTAAGAAAGACAAAGGTTGACCTAGAAAGATTTGGGCATATTGTATAAAAAATGATCTTAATTTATCAGAATTAAAAAGAAATATGACACTCAATAAGATGCAATGGAGAAAAAGGATTCATGTAGCCGACCCACTTAGTGGGATAAAGGTTTGTTGTAGTTATTGTTGTAATTAATGGATTATTTATACACGGTGTTTAGAAGGGCTGATAATAATATTGTAACTCAAAACTTATTGAATAATAACTTAATTTTGAATGACGCAACCATGAAAATGATTTACTTGGAATCACAGTCCAAGAGCTTAGCTTTAAACTTTTTCTCAATGATATTTCGTTGTTATTTATGGCTTGCTCAAAATAGGTTTGATTCATCTTGTAATTTTCTACATGCATCTTATGTATACGTGTACAAGTGGATGTACGGATCAATACTTTTTTATTTATGTATTCTTGATTGGTATGCCTCATGATTAAACTTGGTGGAATTATTGTAAATTAACATATAGTAAGTCTATTTCGTAATGAAATCAATTAATCTTGAGCAAATACACCTAGTTTCAAAGGCATATTTGAGTTTGGCTAAATTAACAAGCTTTGATTTAGAATTGGCTCTGGTTAACTTGAACATATACATCATAATAGTAGTCAATATTAATATCTCTGGCTGGTTTGATATCATTTAAATTTTTATGCTTTAAATTTTGTAAATTGTCATCTCTATTTTCTTTTATCATTTATTTGCTTTCTAGAAGTTCTTTTTTGGGGTTATCTGTGTTTAGCTGCTTAAAGTATTCCTTATTTTGTGAAGTTCGTGGTTGAATTACTCAAAACTAGACAATTATTTGCAGTACCCACCTACTCCCCCTCCTCTCTTTCTATTTTAATAGAGTTTCAAGAGATGTATTTGCTAAAAATAATGTGATTGCAAGGTCTTTTAATTGAACTTGACCCATGAAGCTAAGAAAAGTCTGAAGTCTTGATCTCGAACAAATTGAATGGTTTTGAATTATATCTTTTAATTGATTCCTCTTTAAGGTAGAACTTTTTAGAATTATATTATCGTCCTATTAATTATTTAAAGATTGGTTTTTTTTTTTGGGAAGAGGGAAGAGGTTAAATAGAATAACCTAGCTTTAGCATAGTCTTTTATAAAGAATTTTTTAGTAGGCTCCATCTCCTGATCATCATTTGTGTATTTTTCATTTTTTTCAAAATAACAATTAGCTAGAAGTAGCATGATCCAAGCTAAGTTCTTCCTTATGCTTTATGCAGTAATCCATCTTCCTACGTTCTTGCTTCTTTTATCAATTATTATACACTAGAAGCAATCAAATTGCCATGAAGGATATTTCTTTCTTTGACTTCTCTTCACCCATCTGCATGCAAGGGAATACATTTCCCACCTTTGGGAGACTGCACTTTTTCTTATGTATGCTGTTGTTTACCTCATGTGCTATTTTTTATCCTTTTGGTGCAATTGATGTTCGGCTAAAAATGAGGCGGAATTAGGGGTGTTACTGCAACTGGATTCTTAGTAGTTTTTGGTAGGTAGTATTGCACTATAGTTTTGCAAGAAGATTGAACACAAGGAAGAAAGTGTGGACTTATTAGCCAAAGCTATTTATTAACCATATTCTAGACAAATTATGATGTTTTGATCCTTTCTGCTATTTTACAAATATTGCTTTAGTAAAAGAAAAAATTAACTATTTAGATTACAACAACTTATGCATAGCAAACATGTTTTTATTTCCTCTGTTAATTTTTTGAAAGACTCCAAGAAATCATATTTATAGTTCAAGTTACCAATTATATTTAAGTGTTCCTAGACTATAGTAGTAAATTTTTTCATTTGGAAGCTTCTTGCATCAAAGGGCACATTCATAATATCTCCCATATTGCAATAAGGTACTTCTCATGCTAAGTAATTTTCTAAATTATTCAGATTCTAAGTTCACGTAGGATCTGTCTCTACAGTTTAAGGGAATACCATTACACATATCTTCATGATAAGGAAATGACAAAATCCAATTTTTTTTTTTGCAATTTCGTCATAGAAAACTTTCTTACTATTATCTTAACCTAATTTTGCATCATGAAGCATATTCGAGTTACTATTGTTTAATTCAAAAAATTTAAAAGAACTAAATAGTTCCCTGTCTATTTGGAAGGGGCCAAAATTGTCCTAAATTATGTAAAAAGCCAACTTAGGCGCCATACTATTTAAATAGGGACTAGAATAGTCTCCATGCTTTGTAAATAGGAATTAAAATGGTCTTCCGTAGAGATCATTTTGGTTTCTATTTAAGTCGTCTAAGGACTATATTAGCCTTTTTTATAGTTTGAGATTACTTTAGTTCCCTTCACTTAGTCGGGAATATTTTCATCATTTTTTCAATTCAAAAGCCAAACCTCAATACACCCTTTTGTTACAGATGAAGTTCATTTTTTAAATTTTGTATTGTGCAGCAAAAAAGTTTTGCTTATGGCCAAGGTTGATATGATGTAAATGATAAATTTAAGATAGATGCATGGAGAAATTAGGGATTATATTAGAGGAGTGGTTGGCGTGATATCTATTAATGGAAAAGTAATTTCATAAAAACTTAGGCGGCTTAAACATTTACAATGAAGGCTAGAAATAACACTCATTAGACGAGTAAATAAAATTAATTTTGGAGAATTATAAAATTAAAGGTGTGGGTCTAATTTAATATGAATATAAATTGTTTAAAATAATTGCAAAAATAGATTTAATACATTATATAGCCAGAATGATTGGAACATGTGGATTCATAAAACCGACCCTATATAGTTGATGTTGATGTTGAACTTTTAAAACAATGGACTTGGGGTCTCTAATTAGTTCCCCAATCTTGTTTATGAAGATTTTGGTGTTCTAGTTGTCAGCCATAGATATACCAATATCATTTTAAAGACTTAAAATTCTGGTTACTTCTGTAGCATTTTCTTGAGTCAATTGGAGACTGGCATCAAGCTTTTTGAGGTTATGGTTTCCTTCAATTACAATTGCGACAATCTCTCAAACCAGTGATGAAATTTTTTTGAAACCCTTAATGTTTCTAAGTTGCTTTGTGATTAGGTTTTCCATAAAAATGATTATTTTTGTTGTTTTTTTATTCTCTAGAATCTAAATTTGGATGACTGTTTTAGCTCTTGATTTACTTTGCATGGTTTGCATAAATATTCTTATTTGAATCAGGATGCAGTGGTTGAACAGCTGATTTTTTATAATAAGCTCTAACTCTTTTTGTGGAAATATAATCACTATTGAATAAAGCTTGTACGCCATGTTATTGTTATTTTGAAGTCAGATTTGCTCTTGAAAAATTATTTTGAAACAGAAATTGAAGAGATTGCTGCCACTGGAAAAGAAAACGATGAAAATGGTATGCTGTTTGAAGGAATGGCGACTTACACTCAAACACTTGAAGCCTATGTAGTTGATATGAGGAAAAAGGTTGAGAATCTGGAGTCCAAGCTGGAGGAAGCATCAGCAGTAATTGAAACTAAGGAACAAAAGCTGCGAGAGCTTGAAGCACAACTTAGCAAAACCCAGTTGCCGAAGATGGAAGGCGCAAGTTCTCATGTATTACCTATTAAAACGCATGTAGAAGAATTGGATTCTGAACTTGAAGTCCTCCTAGTGGAAAAGATAGAGGCAGAAATTGAGTACTTGATAACAAGTAGAACAATACAGAATTGGAAAATCCTCTGCGAAGATCAAATTGCTCTATTTAAAGAGCAGAAGTATCTGGCTGGTGATCAAGAACAGATGATGCTAAAGCTTAGAGAAGCTGAGGACAAGATCATCTTGTTCATTGAGCAGAAAGGCAAGTTAGAGGCATATTGCAAGGAGCTGGTAGAGACTGAGAATGTCCTGAGGCTGCAAAACAAGGTCTGTAAGTTTTCCCTCCGTATTATCGTTCAGCTGATAATTTTTAGCATTGCATTCGGGTTATTTCTCATGCAGTTGTCCCCAATTGATGGGGTGATGCCAACATAGATTTCAAGCCAAACCTTGTGTTATCTCCATGGCCTCAAAAGTTCTTTTTAGGCACCTATATTTGATTAGCTGAAGTGATTTTGTTGCATAGGTCTCTTTGGTGCAATTATTTTTTAAATTGTAGCTTTTATCTTTAATTTTATAATTGCAATCTCTCTAAACCTTTAATTGGGTGATCAAATTTTAACTGCTTGCATGAACTTATGGTTTTATAGTCGTCATTTTTCATCTTTTTTTTAAAGCAGACTGACATTGTTGAGAAATAGAGACAAAACTAACCTTTATTTTGAGACTGGTAAACTTATTATGTAAATAAACTAATATTTAAAAAATTCAAAATAAAAGTTTGTATTTCATCATCATCATGAATGAATTGAACAATGATTACAAGCTTTTCAATTTATTTGCATTTTTTTTATAATGTTGCGTTATGACTTGTATTAGGAATTAAGTCGAACAATTTTTTTTTAAGTATGGTATTTGGCTATAATCGTGCCAGCTATCACCCATTCTACTATATAATTGGTGTTTTATAATTCTGATTGCATAGATTGTTCTCTTCACTGTAATAGTAGCAACTGATAAAGCTAATAACAAGGTGATAAACCTATAAACCAGGGGGATATACATCGTCATTTTTTATCTTAGCAATTGCTTTTGCAAGATTGCTAAGCATAAAGATAAGAATTTATCACTGGTGCATAGATCAATAATATAACTAAACAGTATCACATGCTCAACTATAAAAAAACATTTGAATATAAATTTAGAAGGTGAATTAAATCTCCATGCAAAATTATTCATTTTTGATTTGGGAGAATTATACTCTCTTGATTGATGGGACCTTTAAACCAAATTTGCTCTGTGAATTTTATCCTCATCATTAATATCATAGCGTCAAATCAAAGGTCGAAGCCCAATATTAGTTGGAAGATTCTCAATACGAGTTATTACATGTTTTGTCCCCTTTAAATTGATCCATTTAAACTGTTAAAAGAAAAGTGGTATTTATATTTGAGCAATTATATATTTATTAACAAATATCATCCACATGCATAACTAATAGATTTAGAGATTAAATTTCATAAAAGTAGCATATTTTTAATAATATCTAAGTAAAATAGAAACCTAGGACATAGTTCATGACTAGAACGCTTAGAATATAAGCTTTATAACAATACTCAGGAATGAAGTTATTTGAGATTTCTTATGCAAATCTGAAACAAGTTGGTCCTTTTCGTTCCCATCTTCATAGTGGTGGCTTTTGTGTGGCTATCAAGAACTCGGGTAATGCATCTAGAATCCCAAACCAAGCTGTTATACATAAGCACTTATATTCAAATCATGATATATGATAATAATAACCATATTATGTAGGTTTTGAAGCTTTATATAGTTATTCAGGAATACACAAGTGCTTTATATAATTAGGCGGTTGTAGGCAGAGCTCGGCTTGTAGTTGTTTCACAATAATTTTAGCAACAACTAAAACCCCTTATCCCATTAAGTGCGGTCAGCCCTTTTTCTCTATTGTATCCTAATGAGTATCATATTTTCATTTAATTTTAATAGATTAAGATGATTTTTTATACAGTATGCCCAAGTCTTTTTGAGTTGTAGGATTAGGATTTGGGAGAGGTCTTATGCCTCTCGAATTGTAGTTGTTTGGTTTAGGGTTTGGGAGAGATTGCTTACCTCTCGAATTGTATGTGTTAGGTTTAGGGTTTGGGAGAGATCGCTTGAAATAAAATATTTAGTTGCCCTAATTTTTTGAGGAAAACTCATCTGGTTCTAACAAATTGGTATCAGATTCGAAAATAGGATCTATCGTGATAAGGGTTAGCGAGGAAGTCGAAGACGGGATCAATCGCGATACAAGTCGCGGTAAGAGCTTGTTGTGCATTGGGAAGCCGAAGATGGATCACAATAAAGTCGCTGTAAGAGCTAGCTAAGAAGCAGGAAAGTCGAAGATGGGATCGATCGTGATACAATCACATTAATTTGGCGGGATTGATTGCGAGATAGTAGTGGTAAGAGCTTGATGCGAAGCCAACATCGGGATCACAGCGTACATAATTCGGTCGCGCCTACTTCGTAAAAGAATTTCACAATATAGTCACAAATAGTGAGTGATTCAAGCGAAAAATAAGATTGCGACCACCAACACATGCCATACAACACGACATGAGCTAGTTGGGAAGTCGATGACGGATCTCTTACAGAAGTTCCACGATTCGAACAATTTGGAAAGCTAGAGACGGGATCGAGGCTTACAACATGTCGATACAATTGCACTTCAGGTGATCTGGGAAGCCACAGTATCACGAGTTACAACTTCACAATACAGTTGCGATTCAGATTACTTGGGAAGCCAATGACGGGATCACAATATGCAGCTTCATCTCCTTGATTGAAAATTATTTTGAGTAATGTTAGTCAAAGAAATTAGAGAGATAAGTGAGCCAAATCAAATCAGAAATGGATGAACATTTTTTATCCAATGCATGGAGGTGGAGATTCACAACGTTGGAAGAAATGATGAGAAAGATTGTGGAGTTTCACACAAACTCGCCTCTGTCTGTTGTGGAATCGAGTGACGGCATGGGGATGCGGACGCGAGTGGTAAGAATCAAAAAGATTCATACAATATCAACGCAATGTTGTTGCTTTGGGCGAATCTTGAGCCACAGGATTGAGCGAAGGAATCAGGAGTGAACTTGAGCGACAAAACTTGGAAGAAATAGCGCGACATCCAAACTGTTGGAACGAATAGAAGTTGGAGGAATTTAGCAAATGAGTTTGGAGCAAATTCAAGCGACAACATCTAGAGGGAATTGTGCGACATCAAGATGTTTGGAACGAGCGACATCAGGCGAATCAAGACGACGTGCGATTTTGATCTAGAGAAGATCAACACAAAGGATTTCAACATAGAACGGGGTACCATAGTGGGTGGGATCTCAATGGAGGTCTGCATCCATCTTTGCCAGTGCTTGTTTTTTGCGGCAGCTGTTCGAACGGAATATGATTTAGGAGTAATGACCGGAGCAAGGCTTGCGGAGAATAACAGTGGAGTTGTAAAGGTCTGTTTTTTATACTACATAGTATTCAAAAGGGAGACAAGAGGTTCATGTTTCGCAATGACCCCAGTTTATGCAAGACTTTGGTGACGCTGAAGATTATGGTGAGGGCAATGTTCAAGACATAGAGCTGCGATTCTTGATCGAGTTGCATAACATGAAAGAGATACATTATACAGGGTTGGAAGAGATTTCGATGTTCGATGAGCTGCTGGATAAGTTGATTGGGGTTATGGTATTCTCCAAGTTTAACTAAAAGTGGAAGTCTGGACACTATCTTATTTGGATTTAGTCGAAGGATGTGCATAAGATGATATTTTTAACTTATAAGGGTCGCTTTGAATTTTTGATTAATGGAATAATTGCCAGATGATAGCATCACATGTGAGCCATACGACTTGATCCCGTAGAAGTTTTCTTATTCACCTTGAAAATAATGTGTCATTTTGGGATGAGAATAATATTTGATATTTTGAGTCTGCCATATAATTTGAAGACTCTTTTTAAGCGCAAGGTTAAAAGGTCAATTTAGTAATTTATTATGTATTATTGTGGGGTATAAATATGACTAATATGTTTAAGGTTAGGTTTATGATGAGGATTGTTGTCTAGAGTCTTAGGGTTAAGATTTGGGAGAGATCGCCTACCTTCTCAAATTGTAGTTGTTAGGGTTAAGGTGTGGGAGAGATTGTCTACTTCTCGAATCTAGGTGCTTATCTTTATGCAATTGAGTGTGTTGTTTGGTATTCTTGAAATAAAATGTTTTATTTTGCCCAAATCAATATAATATTATAATCGATAAAAAAGATAACAATGAAGGATGTGAATCACCCAAGAAAAACATTGTTGAAAATTTTGAAACCAAGGAACTGAGCAAACTCAAATATTTCTTAGATATAGAAGTTCAATTAGAATAATAATTTTTTATCTTAACTTTGCTCAAATATTTCTTAGATATAGAAGTTCAATTAGAATAATAATTTTTTATCTTAACAAAAATATACTATGCATCTATGATGGTTAATTGTAAATCATATTAAACTTCAATTGAGTTAAATCAGAAACTAGGCATGGATGAAGACGAAACATAAGTGAAATTTTGTAAGGTCGAATTTAATTGAAAAATTAATCAATTACATGAGCACCTTTACATTGCTTTTGCAATAACTCATATGTTAGTATATGCACAAATCCAAAGAATCTTATTTTAAGCTGCTTATAGAGTCCTTAATTACCTTCAAGAAAAGTTGGGAAAGAGGATTGTCTACACAAAATATGATATTTTATAACTCGAAGGTTATATTCATACTGACTATAAGGGGATGATATTGAATATGAGATTCATTTTAGGATATCACACACTTCTAAAAGGAAACTTTATAATCTAGTATTGAATTCAAATTTAGAGCAATTGCTTAAAAGATTTGCAAAATCCTATGGATTAAAATCATTTTAAAAGATCTAAAAATTAGATGAAAGGAGTCAATAAAAATATATTGTGACACTAAATTATTTGTTAACATTATTCACAATTTTTTACAGCATGATTGTACCAAACATGCAGAAGTAGGTAGACATTTTATACAAGAATACTTAGAAAGTAGATTGTTTTGTATTTCATATGTTCTAATTGAAAGATAGCTTTCTAATATATTCACCAAAGAGTTTGTCAACCCCACATTCAGGAATATTTTAAATAAACTTGGAATGGTAGATCTCTACCATTCAATTTCAAGAGAAGTGTTGAAGTATTGAAGAATAATAGAATCAAGGAGGGCAAGTAGGAGTGCTAAATCAAGAAAATTAGAGGCCATCGATCATTGATTATGAAAAAAAAGTTCTCACACAAATTCATGTACAAAAAAAAAAAAAAAGGAAAAGACTATCAAATTGCTCCATTGACATTAATCAATAGTCCCTAAATATTTCATACAGTAGGATAATTAAGGGCAATTTTGTATTTGTTATAGCAATTATTTATATTATTTTCTTTCTAAATAATTTTGTGTATAAATACGTATTGAAAGAATGAACAATCCAAACTTTTCTATTTACTTCATTTTTATAAAAGG